ATCTCAATTCTTAGCTGTTCATCATTTTCAGGCAGCCCTAGGGTAAAATCTGCAATTTTATACTGTACATAATATAATAAGTAGACAGCATGTATACACATGTATATAAAATTTAAAATTTGTTTGCAATAATTATGTATCTTTCCGTCAACACATTTTAATCACATTGCCATATCGAGCATTCACCTCGGTTTTAAATGTTCTAATTAGTCTAGAATTCGTGGAAACTTGTTTCCTTCTCCATGGATTATAGTCTCCTTCGACAGTCTGAAGACCCCAGTGGCAGGCGAATATGGGTGAAAGAACTTGGAACTGGTAGCCAGCAGCAATCATTTCATATACCTTAGAGAGGCAGAGAAAAATAAAAATATTGAGAAAGAAACGAAAGCTTTTGTTGGTACCTTTTTAAAACAATATACACGTAAAAGAACGTCGGTTTATACTTCCAAGTAAACATAATCGATAGGTTTCAAGACTGGATTTTTAAGCTGCTTATTTAACGACGCTATCAGTATCAGGGGTATCAAGCGTCGATTCATGGAATTGATCTCAGTTAATGTTCAGTACAAAAGGTAAAGTTATCCCTGTAACAGGCCGCGGAGGCCCATAGGGTTGTGAGACTTCGTGGTTCCCACATTTTCTACACAATCGACTCACAGATGGCGGTAGGTTGTCAGCCTTACTTGCCGGCTGATTTTACCTCTCAGGAAGATACCTGGTAGTACTCATATGTGTTAGAGGCTGAGTCGACCCCAGAGATATAGTGCGGCTCGAAGGATTAGGTGAATTGAAAAATCCAATGGCCTCATCGGGAATCGAACCCGCGACCTTCTGACCTATAGCATAGTGCCTCAACCAACTGCGCTACCGCCTTTAGTAGTGTCCTAAACAAAACCCCGTAAATTTATTCAGTGACAAATATCATGATATACTCTGTCTGAAACATTTGTAACGGTGCGTCATCAACACTACGAACTTTATTTACAGATCTCATAATATTATTGATGTCATAAATGTTGATATTAAATATGCAATTATAAGCCATGATCGCTAAGAGCGCCACACGAAGACCACTTTGAACACACAAGAATTTCTTTCCGAACAGCTGCGTACCAAAGGTATGACGTCACCTCAAAGATGTTCTAGACGGAGTATAGTGACAATTAACGTAAGTGGTGCACATACTTACGACTGATCATTAAAGAGTTAAACTTCTACAGGTCCACTTTATTTCAGCTTGGATGTTATCATTTAGAATTGTATTGTGACTTACAAACTACTTTACACTTGTCGTTTAAATTGAATTTAAACTGCAGTTTTTGCTTTCTCAAAACATTAGGAAGAGGCTAAATGTATGTACGACTTCTTTAACGTTAAGAATTTCTGCTTGAAGTTCACAGAGTTTATTTATGGGCTTCATACGAGTCTCAGAATAAATTGTTTTTATCTTCCTATACTCTATTTCTAAAATTTTAAAAAATATCATCTAAATGATCTTAAAAGGAGACGCGTTGACCGTTACACTTTATATGAATTGTTAATAAATAAAACAGTCACAAGATTAACGAGCTTCTTACACTTCGTGCTCCAGAGGGTTGAAACATCTGTTGGATAATGTAGTCAAACAATGGCTGTTTTGTCAGAGAATTGACTGAATCCAGTGGATTCGTTTTGTAGGAGGAAAATAGATGTATTGGACATCAAAACAGTATGACATACAGTTTATATTGCCCTTTATATGTTTTTGGAATAAGCAGACTTATGGGTTCCAATCCCACTCGAGGCATGGATGTCTGTATGGTTTTATTCTGTTTTTATTCTGTGTTTTGTACTGGTGGAGGCCTTGCGACGGGCTAATTCCCCGTTCGATAAGTCCTACCGACTTTCTATGGGATTACGAAATCGAGAAAACATTCACGACCCAATAAAGGGCTATAGAGTTATTGCTTCCTCTCAACTTTTGATTTAATTGCCTGATTTTCGCGAAGATTGATATGAGAGTTGTGCCACTGAATGTCTGTAGCATGATTATCGGACATAGCAAGAGAAGGGAAACCAATACCTGTGTGTTGCGGGTGAAACCATATCCAATAAAGCGCTCGTCATAATCTGGAACAATAGCGCGTGCTACATAAAATGGCTCGTACCAATTTGTGCACCTAGTGACATTGTGGTTCACGTGAACTGCAGCCTTCACGTCCCCTGTATTTTTTTCCCAACTGTAAACGAATAAATAAGAAGAGCATTAAAAACTAAAACCAATCAGCGCTGAGCTCTAATATAATTCTGCTTGGTTTGGTCATCCTAAAAACAATCGGCGAAAAATACCGATTATGAAGCACCTCACCATGCAGTTATTTACACCCCTATTTCTCTTGAGCTCCCACGTCTCATGCACCCCCAGTCTCTGTTATTACTTTATATTGACGATGTTAAGGGATAGCTCAGTTGGTATAAGGACAATCTAAGCAGTAGATGGCTGGGGTTCGATTTTCGACAGGGGAAAGAGATTTCTCCTTACTCCACAGCGTTCAGACCGGCTCTGGGACCCACCCAGCCTCCTTTCCAATGCGTAATGGGACTCTTTAACTGGGGGTAAAGCGGCCTGGGCGAGAAGCTGACTATTCACCTCCATGTAGGCCCGAGGTCAAGAATGTTTGAGCTTATACCTCCACTCCACCATACGTCTTCATGGCGTAGTACTTAATTAATTAAACACAGGAGCAACGTTACCTTTTACGGGCATACAAGCAACATACAAAATTGTGGTCTTTCGACATTCTTTACAGAATACAATTAAAAAGGAGCTTCACTTCTTTCGTTTCTCTTACCTGCTGTCAGCGGTTAAACCGATACGCAGATTGTCTTATGTAAAATTCGATATGGGAAACTTTCACTAAAAACTGTTAGACAATTCCACTTCTCAACTTTCTTGATCAGCAATTACGTATTGTTTACGTAATGCTGTTTAATGCTTTCAACAGGCTATGGAGGTCCATAGGATTGTGAGACGTCGAGGATCCCACAAATTTTAGACAGTCGGCTCACAGATATCGGTGAGATTGTCAGCCTTACGCGCCGGCCACCCTTTAACTCCAGAAAGATTTCTGGTACTCATTTCTGTTACAGGTTGAGTTGAACCCACGTCCATAGTGCGGCTGGAAGGATTAGATCAATTGAAAAATTCAGTGACGTCGGGAAAAGAATCCGTGATCTTCAGGTTTGTAGCAAAAGCCATTACACAAATGTTGAAATTCGATATTTTGGACTTACAACAAAAATTGCAGCGAATCTCCGACTTTTATCCCAGTTTGTGTAAGGCCAGGGATGTGATTCTCCCTTTATATTATAGAAATCCTTCCAATGATTTACGTTCAAGTTCCCGGTGAATTTCATTAATTCCGTGTTTAAGTAAACTTAATGAAACTTGAAAGAACGCCGAAGATAATTAAATGCTGCACCCCTTACATTTCATTTTTATATTTTAAGATTCACATGTTTATATATTAGACGGAAAACCAAAACGTTTGGACATTAACGGTCGTTCGTAACGTGGAAACAAAAGCACTGTAGCGCTGATAGGTATTCCTATGTCAAGTATTTGGTGTAGTCCCTCTTTGCATATCTGTTACGATGATCCATTTTTCAGAGGACAGGCATCTAAGGCTGTTCATGAGTATGAATATATCGATATGAATATGTTGATATTGTCAGCAGGGTTGCATTGGATTTTATCCTGTTTAACGCTCTTCGTGTGTATTTTCATCTTCTATTTCTCCCAGTAAACGCCTTTTTCTTAGTTAAGATCTAAAAGTTTGTGACGATGGTACATTTCTACAAGTATCATGTTTTTGGACATTATCCATTATTATCTCTGGAGATAGGGACTAGCTCTAGCTATTGGGCCCAACTGAGTAGGTTTTATCTGAGGACCGAGACAGAATCCAGTCTTCGAAACGTTGTGTTTTGAAAAATAAACAGGACGGTTTTTAGATAAAGACAAGACTATGGATAATGTCCAAACACTTTATACTTGTAGCCTTTTTTCCAGAATTTTTGTAGTTGAAATTATGTATTTCTTAAGAAGAGTGTAAATAATGCAGACTCATTTTTGCTGTAAAGAAACACAGAATTTTTCTGATTTAAATGCACTAGTAAATTCATGTGTTATTTAGAGACTACTTTCCTTATTTTGAAAAAATGAAAGAGACTTATTCACTCTCCACGCTGTCTGTGTGTCTTTGTTTCACTTCTCCTATTTAGTTATGAATACCTGAACCAATCTTTGTGAAACTTAGTATGTATTTCACGATACCGGAGACCATCTTATATGCATACTTCATAAATCCAATTAGACTGTGTGTTTGTATGTGTATCCATCTTATCGTTGATAGGCAAAGGCACTGTAAACACGTTCCCGCGACAACGAATACATGCAAAAGTAGAAGAATTGCTGGACGCGTGTGTCTGTGTATCTGTCCGTGTATCCCATTATCGTTGCAAGGTAACAACTTGGCAAACACGTTCCCACGGAAAGAAGGAATTGTTGGTGGCCTCGTTTTCTATGCGGTCCGTATTGTATCAAAGGAAAGTAGGCGATGAGTTCTTCTCAGAATTTCTTATTAGTAATTAACGAAGATGAATCACTCACTCACTAATGGAGCTGAGCCCTTCTTGAGAAGCCGCCAATTGTGCAGCTACTCAAGAGCTTCCCAGCATTTTATGGAACCTGAAGGTACATTACCGTGTTCACAAGAGCCCACCACTGGTCCTTATCTTGAGCCAGACCAATCTAATCCATATCATCCCATCTTACCTCTCTAAGATAAATTTTAATATGGTCAACCCACCTACTCCTTGGTCTTCCCAGTGGTCTTTTTTCCAACTGGATTTCCCACCGATATCTTATATACATTCCTCTTCTCCCAATTCGTGCTACATGCCCTGCCCACCTCATCCTCCTTGACTTGCTCGTAATGCATAATTAAATGTTATCTCACTCACCTGCTATAATTTGTTGAAAAATGACCATCTGCATATATTTTCTGATGGAATGGTCTTGCCAAGCCATTATTTGCCAATTTTATCATTTCAGATTTATTCTGTGGGAAACTAACATTTTCGCTCATTTCGTAAACTGGTATGACGTAAGCACACAATTTCTCACACTTTGATTTTCTAAGAAACTCATCCAGAACTTCAGCCATCCCAGTGCTAGGAATTATATCTACATCAGTAAGGAAAATATACTCGGTCTTACAGTTCCTCCGTGCGTGGTTTCTCAAGTGGTTCTGTGGGTATAACATCTTATTTTTCAATTCTATAATTCTCGAATTCCTGTGTTTCATTAACTCCGAAAGTACAGATTCAGGGTTTTCGCAACTGTAGTTATAATTAAATGTAGAATTAATATAATTAATCGGTGGATAATCGTGTGGATATACTAAATGGAAGCTTATTTGATCTCTTACTTGATGAAAACATTGTCTCAGATATGCGATATATAATTCAGTTACTAAGAATTCTTCAGCCAATGTGAAGACAGACACTGATATTGGGCCAGTCCAATGTTGTGACACCTCCACAAGAGAATGTAACTTCTCTGGAGAACTATGAGTAGCAATGGTTACTGTGTATTTTTCTGAGAGTTCTATAAATTTATCGCCAGACAAAACATAATCAAAGAAATTATAGAGACGTTTTGTGTCCCACCGAGCGAGACTCAAGTTAACATTAAATATGTCAGGATCATTTAACACTAGTCTGTGACGTGTCTTCTCGGACTTTAGTGCGCCTGATGAACCACGGGAACTCTGTATTTCATCTTGATGTTGGAGGTGATTCTTCAGTGATACCGACTGCTGGAAACCGTATATCAGCCATGCGACAAATATGATGCTCATGAGCACTAAGATTAATGTGCGTCTGCCTGTGGAACTGTGAGGTTGGCATCGTATCTGCAAACGAAACATCAAGTTATATAAGACGAGTTCACTGCAACAGCGATAGCGCAGTCGGTATAGCGACAGGTTACGGGTTGGATGGCCGGGTTTCTATTCCCGGTAGGGGCAAGAGATTTTTCTCTACTTCAGAGCGTACACTGGCTCTGGGGTCCACCCTGTCTCCTACACAATGGTTACCCCACGGTAAAGTGTCCTGGGCGTGAAGCTGACCACTCACATCCATATAGTGCCGAGGTCAAGAACGATGGAGCTATAGCGCCACTCCCCTATATACGTATCTTCATGGCGTTATGCTTAATTAATTAAACATAGTGACTACTATACCTTTACCTTAGTACGAGTTTCTTTGCCTCATTCTGACTTCTGACCGAGCAGATTAATGTAGCAGTGTGTTTCGGAAATTGCTTGATTTGAATTTCGGCTGGGACTCCTGTTATATTGGATGAGGTTTCTCGTGGTTTCCTAAAACTCTCCAGGCAAATTCTTGGAGAGTACCTTGATTAGGCAACGACCACTTCCTTCCAAGCCATTTCTAATTCATTATTCACTAATCATCCTACCATTAGATGTTGTGCAGTCAAGACACTGACAGTATTATCAAATAATTAAAAAGTCTTACGTCTGTCTTCTCAATCATTGTCAGGTGTATATGTGACTATAGACAGCGTTTGGATTGGTAATCTGATTTATTATACTCTTACAGATCGTAATTACAAGTAAGGAATGTGTTCTCACTGTTCTACACTCTGCACAAATCACTGTAGGATACACTAAGTCTTCTCAGGCTGTTACACTCTTCAGTAGCCGTTGCCCGGTAGCGGCTACCAACGTCGGACATTCCCCTTTCTGTGGGTTCCTGAACTGTCCCTGGCCTCAACTACCAACTTCTCACAGCAACAGCTCACAACGACTGAGCCTCAGCGGTCGCTTGACCGTAACTCACAACTTGCCCTCCTTATAACATCTCGGCACGGATCGCACAGAAAACACATTTCCTGTGTTGCTGTTAACGGGTCCCTGCCTAATAACGATCGTTGTATAGTTGATTATTTCGCGGTCGTTGCCTAGCAAGTGTCAGTGTGCCACAATATATTTCTCTGTAAGTTTAAAATTATATGTCTCTCTATTGGTGGTAGCTTAATTGGTATAGCGACTGTGTTCGATTCTTGGCAGGAACAAGATATTTTTCTCTTCTCCGCAGGGAGAAGACCGGCTCTGGGGTTCACCCAATCTCCTTGTTACGGGCACCAGGGGCTCTTTTGCCGGAGGTTAGAAGCCGGAACTTGAACCTGCCTCCATCTAGTGCCAAGGTTAATGGGTTGAGCTATACCTACGCTTCGCGATACGTCTTCGTGGCGTTGTGTTTAATGAAACACAAAAATATCGTTGCCTTATCAATTGATTACTTACAGAACTGTATGAACAATTTGATAGCTGTACGCCTTATCTTCTTAGCTAAATTATAATATCACATAACATTATACAGTGCGTCCTGCAAGTTCCCAGTTTGCGAGTATTTTCCGCCAAATCTTACAATTCGTAGTTACCAGACTAACCTAACTCCATAAATCTGTGCCCTTTTGAGAACCTAAAAATCACTTAGCTACTGAAAAATTAGAGTATACGGAGGGTCGTTTGTGTTTACAAGAGCACGCCACTTTTCCTTATCATGAGCCAGATGAATCCATTCCCCATTCTCACGCAATCAGAGCTAAGTAAGTAACTTCATGCAGGTGAATCCTTCCTGAGAAGCCACCAGTCGCTCATACACTCAAGAACTTCCCAGAATTTTATGGAATCCGAAAGTTCATTACCGTGTTCATAAGAGCCCTCAATTGCTCCATATCCTGAGCCAGATCAATCCAGTCTATATCATCCCATCGCAGTTCTCCAAGATTCATTTTAATATTTTCTGCTAATCTGCGTCTTGGTCTTCCTAGTGATCTCTTTCCTTTTGACTTTCCCAGCAATATCTCGTGTTACATGCCCTGCCCATCTCATACTCCTCGACTTTATTATTCTAATTTTTCTTGGCGAGGAGCATAAGTTATGTAGCTCTCTTCATTATGCAGTTTTCTTGAATACCCAGACTCATTTAGTGTAATACTTCGATCCCCTATCTAATCGAACATCTCCCAAGTGATCTTTCCCCTTAAAGTGTGGTTCTCCCTCCAGGGGGGGGTTTGGTTGAAAATAAGTCCAGTGATTAAGACTAGCTCTTTCAAAGGGGACCAACTGAGTAGTTTATCCTTCCCTATCCACCTGAAGACGGAGACAGATCCAGTCTCCGAAACGTCGTGGTTTTTTTTTGTCTTTTATATACCAGACGATGGGTGAAGTCCAAAATAAGCCAAAAGAAGTATTGAAAATAATTGTTTAAAATACAGTTCTGTCCCCACACACATGCAGTCGTAGCAAGTCGATAGGTCAGTGATTTTTAATATAGGAACTTCTGTAAAGTGTATCCGCAGCGGACGAAATATTTCGCAAATTTTACCGTCATTGTACAGGAACATTTCATAGCTTACTGTAAGTGTAGAGAGGTTATAAAACTATTTCCTCCTGTTACCGTACAGCCTGATAGGGACCTGCAACAGTGTGTAGATCTGCACTTTTCGTGACTGTACAGGAATATTTTGTAGTTTCCTGTAGTTGTAGAGAGGCTGTATAGCTATGCAATTTCTGCTATCACCGTGCAGTCTGATAGGGACCTGCAACAGTGTGCAGAACTGCATTTTTCGTTGGCCGGCAGAGGTGGGGTGGAGTCACTTAATCCATGGATATTATCTTACGTGGTCGTTGTATCACCAAGTTTGAGAACCCCCGCCTTGAAGCCTTTCACCTGAAGTTTTGTGTTCATTTCGCATACCTCCCTGCGAGCTGCATACACATCCCATAATTTAACCACTTTAATAATATAATAAACAAACAAACAAACTCCATGATTTTAGTCCGCAAGCGAACTATACCGAAGTTCATAAAGTAAAGATACGATTCTCTTTTGCCTGCCTTCTTTAGCTATATCCTTGTCTGTGATACACATCCGCTTCTCTCTTAAATGCGAGTTTATTTACAAGTAGTCTTTAAAAATTAGAGATTAACAACTAAATACTGAAAATTGAAATTGCCATATGTTTCACCCGTACGCGGCCTTCTTCAGGAACTATCCAGCTTGTCAAAATTTGCTACACTGCATTTTCAATGTAATCAAGATGAATTATTTCCTATGTTAAAATATTTCAATGTTTTCAATTTCCGTCATCCACTCATTAAAACACATTTGTTTGAGAAGGTCACTCGTTACGTTTCCGTGCGCTGCCTTCCTCCTGCGGCGTCAGTGTTTTGCGTGCAATTTATCTATAGTTCCTATGGATGCGGGTATGGTGTTATCATCTTGTTTTTATGTGCTCCATTGTTAAGTACATGCCTCTGCGCAGTCGACTACTTGAGCATGTGTCACTTATGAAATCATAATATTTTTCAAAATTTTGTTTGCTTATACGTGTACCTATAAATATCTGGAATAAATAATTTTACGTAGGAATTTGAACTTTTTATTTTAAATTCAATAGCCTGAACTCTTCCATAAACCGGACGCACCAGTGCTCTAATTTTTTTCCTTTGGCGCTACAGCCCCAATTTGGAATTTGACCTACCTCCATGAACTTCTCCGTTTCACTTCGGCTTACTAGATTTTAGACATTCAGTAGGGCTCCTTGGGCGGGTGATCAGCCGTCAGAAGGCCTCTACCTGTACATGAAGACAGCAAAACGCACACACGCACACACACACATATCCATACCCTGAGTGGGATTCGAAACCAACATCCCGGCTTCCGAGCCAGCGTAGACAGTGCATGCCTTAGACCGCTCGGCTACCGTGAGAGGCAGTGGTTTAATTAGTTTGGATTATTGGGAATGCAGTATATTTTAAGTCTTATTTGACAAACAAACCAAACACATAAGAAGGAAAATACGTTCGAAATAAACATTACCTTAAGCATGGACATGGTCTGCAAGGTATTTTCTTGCTGTAACGGAATCAGTCTGTGACTTCACACACACACACACACACACACACATTGTGAATTGGAACTTCTCTCTTCTGTATTAATACCCCAGACGTATCTATGTTAATGCTGATAAGACAGTGGCATTCGCTTCGATATTTTAACCACTTATCTTCATTAGATTAACATAAAGCCTTGAAGGTAATGTTCAAGGATCTATTTTCTGGGATGGTACGCCATGTAGTTCGAGTAGAAGTTCGCCGATGTTTCGGAGAAACATACTGACGCATGTTGAAAATGAGCCAAGCCAAAAGCCATCAAGAAGTCCACCGACGTTTCAGACGAACGTAGTGCTTACAACTTCAGGGCCGAAAAGTAAGCTAAGCTAGAAACCAGCAGTCTCCATTACTTCGGGAGTAGATATTGAACAAAGAAAAGTCTAATATACCATGCAGGAACTTGAGGAAAAGCGTTCCCAAAAGCAATGAACAGAATTTAGAACCTAGGTAAACTTTAAAAAGGATAATAAGGATTATGATGATAACAGAATTGACAGCAATAATGGAAATATGTAGGCCTAAAATTTGATGTAGTAGGAAAACAAACTTAAATGACTTTGTGAGCGTCGTCGAATGCCTCGCAGTGATATATGAATGCAGTAGCGATCTTATTACCAACCGACCTGCCGGCACCGGACTTGAGGTTTGTGGTATTGTGAGTAGATGGCAGTGGAGTCGATTTTTTTATCTGGCCCGTCGTTCGGAGGGAACTGCTGGGCTGCAGAGAATCGGACGTTAGCAGTAAGCTACGCTAATCATTGACTTAAGTAAACCTTGTATACAGAGACGGCCGAGGCCGCCGAGACTCCGAGACCATAGATGATGGTTAACACAGTGTGACGTAGGAAGGTGACGTAAGGGAGATAAAGAAACGTTTTGTGTGTGTAGGCCTAGTGTGTCTTCCTATTATTTTGTTACTGAAAGCAGAGTTTTTCGGAGACTGAATTGTGTCAGATGGTTTAGTGGTGAGTTGTGAAAGCCTAAGTAGAAGGAAGAGTTCTTTAAGATTCAAAGTACACCTTTAATTTAGACTCCCTTGTAATGGTAAAGTGAATACATGTAACCTAAAGAGTAGTTTCAAAGTTCTAACTCATTGTAGTTTGGAAACGTATCCTAACGTTTCGGGTGAATATATTGCTTCCATCTTCCGGTTTTCGCACCCTTCTTTGTTCTTTGTTTGTTGCTTATTCTCCGATCCTGAGGATGGAAGCGATGTATTCATCAGAAACGTCGTGATTTTTCGGGGCTATTCAATATTTGAACACAGGAGATAGCATTCTTAGTAATTACTGCTGGGGGAACCTCAAATTGAACATCTAAGAGTCAGTTTTTTTATTTGTTTGGTCAAAATCACAATTGTAATGGAGCATGTTTGAAGCACTTCAGCTTGGCATGAATGGTGCTGATAAAAGAATTTGATGTATGCCTCTTAACCCCACAGTTCAGTGTCACTTGTTGAATGGCCAGTGATGCCATGCTAGATGTTTATGTAGTATATTGGGAATATTTGAGAATTGCAATTTGTATTTACTGTTCTAGTAGTAGAATTTAAGTATGTAAGAAGTCACAGATTATGACATCAACTATCCTGATTGAGATTTTTATGGTTTACTCAGGTTCTCCCATCAAATGATGGAACAGTACCATAAATTTGTCTGTAACTACTACTTTCCAGGTCCTTTCCAATTCATTATTCTGTCATCCAACCATCTGATGCCATATAGCGTTGTTTACTGATGTCATCATCAAGTAAACCATAAATGAACAAAATCATTAGTTAATTAAAATGCCTGGCTCTGCCAAGGGGTTTCCCTGTTCCTTCTAACTAACAAACTAAATTGAGTTCATGGAACTAAGTCCTTCTTGAAAAGCCACCAGTTATCCAACTACTCAAGAATTCCCAAGCATTTTGTGGATTCTGAAATTTCATTACTCCATTCACAAGAGCTCTCCACTTGCCCCTATCCTGAGCCACATTAATCCAGTCCATACCACTCCATTCTCTTTCTGTAATATCCATTTTAATATTATCTGCCCGCCTACATTAGGTTTCCTTAACAGTTCTTCTGGCTTACCCTGCATGCATTCACCATCTCCAGGCATGCTTCATTTTCTGCCTATCTTGACTTGATCATTTTAATTATGTTGTTCCTACAATATTTCTTATTCCTTCAGGTTTTCCAACTACATTTTGCGTCCATTTCTTATTCCTGCATGTATACTAGACATTGCATACATCTTGGCCAGCTTCATTTGATAATTTTGTGTGATTTTGTGAAGAGTATGTGTGCACCTGTTTGGCAGGACATCCAGGGAAGACAGGCATGAAACATGTTCCTCTTGTAAAGAACATGAAGCTGCTGTAAATTTATGTTCTTTGTGTATACTGGAATAATAATTTATCACAAGTTTAAGAACATTATCTGTCTTGTCCAGTTCAAATGAATAAAACAAAGCCTTTATTTATTTCTGTTCACACATCTGTATTATTCTGAACCGTACCCCGCATCCTTCAGATTTTTGGTGATAAAATGGTATATTTGTGACATAGTAGGGTGAGGGTACCCGCTTCAAGCAAAGCTTCCCCTGTGACTTGGAAGTCACTTGTTCTCCAGAGTGTCTGACTAAGGAGTATGGTTGAGTGGTAACGCTCTGGGCTTATATGTGTGAGGTACTTGATTCAGCATCTAGGATGCTGTTGGTCCTGACAGAAGTTTTTTTTTTTTTGTGTTTTTCCTTGGTCCCTCAAGGCAAAAACCAATTAGCACGTCAGTTAGGCCACAACTGCTTCCTTCCAAATCCATTCCACTTCATCCATCATCTAACCATTCAGCGCTCTATAGTTTATGATGTTGAAAACATTGTAATGTAGCCCACAGAAAACAGTGTGTTTTGTGTGTATGTAAAAGCAGTTTGTAAGGCAGTTTGCATTTGAACAGGTTTGGCGAAGTTCAGAATCATGGTGGTGGGACCAGGTGACCATGGGCTTCAAGCAGATATTATCTTTGTCATTGAAGGAACAGCAATTAATGGAGCATATTTGAATGATCTTAAATCAAATTATGTTATACCAACATTGGAGTAAGTATACCAGTTACTCTTAAAATCCTCTAGGACAGTGCTTCTTAAACTTTCAACGACAGCGGACCACTGTGTGGTCAGTCTGCATACACTTGGAGCACTCAGCTATCATAATGTTCCCCTTAGCTGTAAAGAGCATGTGAACATTTACAGTTACAATAAACCCCTTACTTCTGGACACCTACTTAACATAAATTCTTTTTAACAACTGTTTGTCACAGTTTCTTAAATTTAAGTATTTCATTTATTGCATATCATAATACTATATGGGCTATATAATATTGTATCGTGTTTGCGTTACTGAAGACGCCGTAGAGATGGTTAATTGGTTTATTTAACAATCTACAAATAACGGCTACGATTACTTATCACACAGTTGCGGGGTTTCACACTTTATAACCCTAAGCGCACTAATCTGTTAACACTGTTGCGGGGTTTCACACTTTATAACCCTATGCGCAAATCAGTTCACTCTGTCTTCAGTAGTCTACACGTTTACAGTAGGGGAGCTATGTATCACTGTATCACACGCTCCCAATTACACAATCACACACACGTCCGGTTCTTCTATCCCGTGACGGCTGCTATACTCCAACTGTAGTCGGCTGACTGGAGAACTGTTGATAACACACTCGGCGACTGTCACAGTACAACTCGGGACTGTCTTCGGCGATGGCCAGGTTACAACTTGGCGGCTGTCACAGTACAACTGAAGTCGCCGACTGCTACAGTAGAACTCTGAATACTCAGTACAACTGACTGGTAGCTGCTGTGAAGCTCACTTATATAGCTGCAGTGCTTGCCGGTTGCGTAATGAGCGCCACGTCACAGTAGGAAGTTGATTACGGGTACGTAGCGTTGCGCATTACGTCACCGCGGAGGGGAGTGGCGGGGCGGGAACTCGCCTATTACCGTAGTAACGCGAGCGTTACGTTACCGCCACGTACAGCTGGGGAGGTAGGGGTGATCCATAGCTCAACATGTCACAATATAATGAACTATTTGGTAGATTATCATGGACCATTAATGTTTCATGAACCACAGTTTGATAAACACTGCTGTAGGGACTTTCTGGAGGTGAGGCAGATCTTAATATTTCAGTTTTATAATCAAGTGGAATAGTTTTCTATTCTGTGTCATGGAAGAAATAATTCAACCCTTTTTAATATTATTTTGTTACGTACAGATTGTGAGGAGCTAAAAGAGAGGAAGTCAACAGTTCAGAGAGTGTTTGTGGTATTAATGATTTGTGATAGATGCCATATCATTGATTTTTCTTTTAAGATCTTGTATATCTGCATCATTAAATTTCCCAGGAGGTACTAAAATATATTATAATTTACATTTAATCTAATGTACAAGGTTTTAGAAATGGGTGCCACTTTTGGTAGTAGGCTTATGTGGTATTCAGAACACAGGTCAGGGAGCATGCAACTATTATTGACTTTTTTTTTTAAAGAAATCCAACAGTGTATAAAATATTGTTCAAAGATAGTCATTAGAAAGAATGGTTCTAATTGCTGCAGCGCATACCAGTACTCCAAATACTAATAATAAACAAAATATAATTTTCAGGTTTCTTTGAAATAAACATTTTATGAAGTACTAATTAATTTTAAATTGTAATCTCCTGGTTTATGACACAATATAGTCCAGTAGGTGGTTATCAATTGTTTGGAGGAACCCGATGCAATTCTTTCAGAATTATAGTAATTATCTCCTGGATTATATGGTATTATAATCCCTAAGATTTCAGTAAAAATCTTCACTGGTGTCAGAACCTCAAATCACAGCTGTTTACCGTGTCCATTTTACTGCCCACAAATACCTCTATCTGAAATATTTGATTTTCAGTTGGTAGATTGGTACTAAGTTCACTTGTCCATTTTTATTTCATTTGATTTGTGGTTCTCACAGCAGCGGCAGTGAAGAGTGCAGTCTTCTGGGTTGTAACGGTGTGTAGTTAAGAAAATAGCCTTATGTTTCAGAGAAAAATACCGCCAGAATCTTCATGGTTGAAGAGTAAGTAGAGCTTTGCTTGCTGCCTGCTTCATGCTGGTTTCTTGCTTGGCTTACTATTCAACCCTGAAGATGGAGGCGATATGTTCCCCAGAAACAGACTTTTAATGAACTACAAGGTGTTGTAACCAAGAAGACAATACTCTTGATTTTTATTTGGGCATGCTTTGGTACATTTTAAGGGTTTCTTTACCTGATGGTGTCCAGTTCGAATATGTGCTTGGGGTACCAGCTGCCCTGACTTAAATTTTTCAAGATTATCCTCTTCTGGACAATTGCTGAAGTAGTATCTTCAAAATGCTCTAACTGAGTCTGCTAGATCCTTACGTACTCATCGTTTGTGGTCATGCTGGGTTACATTCATCACTGTAAGCTTTGTACTTTAAATGACAGTGTTACATAATCTGGAAAAAGTCACATTTGCTTTGTGTTTGTAACGATGGAGTTTAAAGGTTGGTATCGCTAGAAGTCACTCCTGATTTGTTTCTTGATGTTGTATTTTTGAATTCATCAAGGCAGTTGATAAGTTTAGCATTATTTCATTTAAACAGTTATTCTTTTATTTTCAAAACTCAAGCATTGCCTTTTTTTTTCTTTTGTCCTGAGCATTGTCAGTTGCAGAGGTCATGCCACAGCAAAGATATGACAGTGTTATGAATAGAAAGAAAGTTATTGTGGCTTGTTTTGAGATATTTTTCCTGTGTTTGTGTAACAAAAATCAAGATTTTTCATTTGGGAAAAGTGATCATGTGGCTGAGATTTGAACTGTGGACCATCAAATTATGAAGCCAGAGTGCCAGTTACAGTGCTTTGATATTTCATTAGGAAATAACATATTTGTTTCTTCTGCAGGTATTTCAGTCAGGGAACCATTGAAGAACGAGAGTATGTAGCTGAGGTATGTGTCAGTTATTTAATATTTGAGTTGTTATAACCTTCACTTTGTGTGAAGTATGTTTACAGTGTGAGAAGTAGATGCCTGTTCATGTTTCATTTCTGATACTGTCCCTCAAACAAGCAAGTTGTGGACAGCAAGGAGAGTGCTACTTGCCCTGCTACTTGTCCTGAAGATAGAGACAGTACATTTCTCTGAAATTCTAGCAAACATACCAGACTGGATGACATCATATCCCAGAAAACAATGCTCTCATGGGATTCCTTGAATGGCCAAGTGACTGTTAGCTTTGTTATGCTTTGTTATGTTAGATGCTAGCTTGTATCCTGTTCAGCAGCTGGTTTAGAATAAATATCTAATCTGACTGCTTGTCTTGTCATGCAGAGCACAAGCACTCAGTATGGTCTAGTTATATACCAAGCTGCTGACTGTCTCCCAAACCCTAGCAGCGATTGTTATGGGCCCTATTCCAGTCCACAGAAGTTGCTGAATATACTCGACAAGATTGAGTGAGTAAGAATTTTAAATATTTTATGTATTAAATGGAGCTAAGTATAACCTACATAGTGGAATATGGGTTAATATATATTTAAAATACACAAAACTATATTCATATTCTTAGCAACTCAGTATATAAATATAGAAAATTTATTAGTTAAAATTAATGATGAATTTACTTAATAAATAACATTCCATTGATGTATGTATGTGATAAATTCAATGAAATTGGGGTTTGTAGAATATCTGCTCCTTCCTGTGTAGTGAAATAAAATGTGTAGAGGTAAAGCTAGCACAACACCAGGAAGATGTACAGGGAATGGAATTGTTGCTGCATGTTTTCTTAACCTAAGGTGAGCAGTCAGTTTCATGCTTCAGTCAGTTTACTCATGAAATCATCCATGGTATCCATTGGATAGATAACAAGAAATATGTAATAGCAGTAGACATAGAATATGAATATAGAACTGTATTGCAAAAGTTTGCACCATAATAGTAATCTGAAAGCCCAAAAAATTGTTATGGAAGATATAAAATTAGAGGGATGGGTGTTATATGATCCTTGAACCACAATCTTCTTTGTTCTGCTGTGAATCTCTGATGACATTGCAGCTCTGCCCTCAGCTGCTGTGTAATTCTTGTTGTGGAAACAACCATGTTCTTTTTATATACTGTTATATGAGGGGGTACCCAAAAGAAACTGAACTTGTTTTTTTTAAACTTATTTATTCAAATTTTAAGCACAAACCTTCAATCCCCTTCAAAGTACTCTCCACTTTCACTAATACATTTGTCTAGTCTTTTATTCCATTTTTCAGAACATTGTCTAAATTCATCTTCTGAGATGCTTGACAGCGCCTCCGTCGTTTTTTCATTTGAGGAAACAAAAAAAAGTCGCACGGGGCAAGGTCGGGTGAGTATGGAGGGTGAGGAACAGGGGTCATACCATTTTTGGTCAAGAATTGTCGTACAGACAGGGCTGTGTGAGCAGGGGCATTGTCATGATGGAAAAACCAGTCACCCGACTGCCACAAATCTGGCCGCTGCCGCCGCAAACTGTTGTGCAATCTTTTCAAAACTTGCAAGTAGAAAGCCTGGTTAACTGTCTGACCCTGCGGAACAAACTCTGAATGGACGACTCCTCTCACATCGAAAAAACAAGTCTGCATTGTTTTCATGTTTGATTTCACCTGACGAGCTTTCTTGGGGCGAGGCGAACTTGAAGTCTTCCACTGGCTTGATTGTTGCTTTGATTCAGGATCGTAAGCATAGCACCAGGTTTCATCACCAGTGATAATTTTTGAAAAAAAGTTTTGATCATTTCGGGACTCTTCTTTCAAAGCACAGCATGCTTCCACG